TCACCTCTCTCTCTCATTTGCTTAAGAAAGACTAAATATATGACAGATATTAAATTAAATACAAAGAAAACTCAAATATATACTTAAACAAAATGAATAGAAACGTATAGTTCTTTAGCGATTGTCGATATCAAACAAGTATTCCGACTGTTCGAGGCGACTTCTCTCGGTGTGTATGTGTATGCGAAGACCATGGGTCACGATGAAGTATGAAGTCTCTTAACGTGTATACAAAATATCAAACTTAATCTTGAAGCAACAGCACGTGAAATAGCTCTCTACTGCACAGTCTCAGCTAGTAAAAACTATATACGAAAGAATTATCCAGCTAGAGCCTCAGGTTACAGGAATACTTTCCGAACGAGATAACTTGCTTTTCATATTAGCTAGATGAAAGTAAGCCTGTAACTACTTCCAACTATTCAAAATTTTTTCTTCGACCTCTTCGATTTATAATAAACATATTCACAGACAGAAAGACAGTAAGTCGAGGGATATTTCTACAATAGTCGTTAGTCGTTTGTTCCTTTTTCGATGGAGAACACGTTACTCAATAATACAGTACGGTACATACTTAAAAGTTAGATTGTTGCCTTAACATTAAGGTATTTTTAAAAATTCATTAGTTCTAGCAAGACGCCAGTGTCGAGCAAACGCTCGAGTGTGCTCTTGTCGGTGTCCACGCGCTTTTCCAAGTAAGCGAGTACAGGCTCGAATATCTCCGCGGTGCTGATCGCATTCCATCGAAGACCTCCTGCGTATCCGTACTTCCGCGCAACGTTCGTGTCGCAGTCGACAATACTTTGTATACGTTTGGCACTGTCGCCGACAATACCCTCCATCGGCACTAAAAGGGTCGTGCACAAGCTGCGAAATTGTCGAAAGCACTGCCGACATTCCTCGTCCTCTGCTAGAAGTGTCTCGAAATAACTGAACAGTTCCAGAGCACATACAATAACAGCGCATGCTTTCGCCAGTAGAGTTTTAACGGAAAACTTACATACCAGACTGACGAATCTGCATTTTATCACCACGGCGTTGTACAAGTCCCTCTTAACTATATAGAGTTTGCCCAGGCACGACTTGCACTTGACCGACACGTGCGTGGAGTAAAATTCATCTCTTTTCATGTGTACAAATTCATTAGTTCCAGCAAGACGCCAGTGTCGAGCAAACGTTCGAGCGTGCTTTTGTCGGCGTCCACGCGCTTTTCCCAGTAAGCGAGCACAGACTTGAATATATCCGCGGCGCTGATCGTATTCCATCGAAGACCTTCCGCGTATCCATACTTCCGCGCAACATTCGTGTCGTGGTCGACAATACATTGCATACTTTTCGCACTGTCGTCGACAATACCCTCCATCGGCACTAAAAGGGTTGTGCACAAGCTGCGAAATTCTCGAAAGCACTGTTATGAAATAAGGTATGCCTTAATTACTGTCACAATTTTAATATACATACAGATATGCATATGTGTGCATGTATATACCTAGGTTTTGCGATATATCTTAAGCACGTACACATAGGTATACACACACACACACACGCACGCACGCACGCACGCACGCACGCACGCACGCACGCACGCACGCACGCACGCACGCACGCACGCACGCACGCACGCACGCACGCACGCACGCACGCACGCACGCACGCACGCACGCACGCACGCACGCACGCACGCACGCACGCACGCACG